AGAAAACATATATCATAGTTGGAAATCAACATGTCTGCTGCCTCTTCTGAAGCCATGCTGTTGTATTTTCGGATTTTGATCAAGCTGGATCTGCAATGCAGGAACCCAAAATGATAGCCTATGTTGGTTTACAACGACAACAACTAGGATCTATGGGGGATATATCTATAGTTACCCTCTGGTAAACTAACAGTTTGCTATTGAAAATGGCCCAGTCGAAATAGTGGATTTACCCATTAATAGCATGGTGATTTTCCATAGTCATGTTAATTTACCAGAGGGTACTGTAGATGGTTTTTTTTCCACCAACACATCGATGAAAACACCGGCTGTGCTTATTCTAACCGTCCCTTGCCCCGTTGCCCCGGTCACCACCCAGACCCTGGTGGCGCTCAATCCGGAACTCCCACGTGGCGCTCCATCAGTTCCGGGAGCAGTGGAAAACTATACCATCTTCGTTCATCCGGTGGTAGATGGAACATCCCTGGCGACATATCTATGTCTGTATCTATCAGGATCTATTCGGATTAAGATATACGCACACTCCAATCAAATTGACTGGATAGGCATTCCCATTGGCATGCAAGATGTATCGAGCACGCATGCCAAGGGCCATCTGTAAAGAACCACCTTGAAGAGCCATCCTTTCGCACGATCCATCGAAGTCTCTTCGATGATCTTTGAAATCCATACCCTCCGGTAAATTAACATAGCTATGGAAAATCACACTATTTTTCATAGGCAAATCAACTTAATATATTTCAAATAGGGCCGTTTTCCAGTTCGCAAACTGTCAACGTTTACCGGTTTACCGTTTATAGGCTAATCATTAAATATCACCAGCTAAGAATCATCATTATTGACCATCATTATTTTAACCATTATACCACTATATACCATTATATACAATGTGGTGCCCCCCAGTTATAAGTTGGTTTATAAACCCCAGTAACTATAGTTATAAGTACCATAAACCATAGTTATTGGAGTTATAAACCAACTGAACGCTATCTTGGGGGCCTCACATTGTACCATTATACACCATTCGTTCACAGCGTCTCTGCGCAGCGCAGAAGCGCAGTTTTTTTTTGGTTTCCGCCGGGTCGATCCGATGGACCAAGAAAAGTAGCCTCTGGTTATGTCAAACATAGCTATTGAACATGGCCATAGAAATAGTGGATTTACCTATTGAAAATGGTGATTTTCCATAGTTATATATGTATGTTTACCAGAGGGTATCTCAAAGATGTCAGATACTTCTGGTACTGTAAAGATGTCTTACCCATATGCGAACCATGGTGCTGGAAGATGATGGAGTGAGTTCGTCAGTTGGGAGTATGACATAGTGATTTTCCATTCCCAACATATGGAACAATAAAATTCATGTTCCAAACCACCAAGCAGATTTGGATTCTTGATCGAAACAAATGTTTAATATTGTTTAATGGATTTTTATGAATCTGGATCTAACGAATCTAAATTAAATGAGATTTACTGTACCCATATGCTCCATGGTGCTGGAATATTTACCAAGCCCGAACAAAATCGCCCAGTTTTGTAGTTAAATATACCATACATGGAGCATCTGGGTTAAATATCCCATATCTTCTGGAAAGAACATTCTGTAAAGTAAACAATAGTAAACATCTGTCAGTACATTTAAGTAAAGATTGTCAAATACACTCAGATGTCTTAAACTCAACCATCTCTTCTGGAAAGTAAACACAGAAAGCGAAAAGTTGTGTGCGCCGGCGGTTACCTCTCCATCACAACCATGATAGTTGGGGAATCCCATCCTGACATTAAACACCCCATTTCCATGGTACCAATGGAATGTGTAAATCCCCAAGAGAACATGGTTTCTAGATGTTTCTAGGGGGTGTTTAGTATTCGGGGCAAGTGATTCATAAGCTAAGTTTATGAATCACTCCTGGGGTATACAGATATAGCTTTAAGCTATATCTGTATACCCCAGGTGCATATGGGCTACTACTTGAGTCCCGTACCCGCAACCACATTCAGGCGGTTTCCCACACCAAAAAAGGATTCTTGCAAGGTTGTGTCCCCAAACGTTCTGTATGTTGGTTTGTGGATATGTATATGCAATGGGGCTTGTAATATAAATATATATATATAGTTATATATAAACAAACCATCATCAACCCAATAGTCATGTTAGTTGTAAAAATCAGCTGGCTTAGCTATGACATATGACCATGTAGCAACAATGCAGATTGTCCCCATTGTTGTTGCTGATTCCCTGCTTTTACCTCAAGGTTTTCAACCAACTTTTGCCAGCAGAACAACCTGGGAGCACATCTTCCCCACGCGACGGCGCCTGTTCGCCGTTGTCGCCTTCGTGCACGATGCTGCCATCCGCATTGATGGGAAGGGAGGTGGAAGATTTGCGCCTGCGGTGACGCTAAAGCTGAAGTCATGTGGGTACCTCGAAATCCAAGATCATCTCCATCCAAGGCATAGGATGAAAGCCATGGTGACCACTAGGGGACACATTGAAACCCCCATAGATCAGAGGAATTCTCAAGGGAAAACCTGGGACCAAACATGCCAAACAGAGTTTTGAAATTCGGAATGGCGGATCAACCAAATCAAATGATAACAATTCAACAACACCAATTGCTACTGGCTATCCATTTGGCGGATCAGCAATTTTATTGTTATGTTTGAAAAGCCATGGAAAATCCACCCATTTTTAAGTTCGGTAAACCATCTATTTCTATGGGCCATCTATCCATATCTATCCCATGGCTAACTGTTAGTCATAACCAGAGGGTAAATCACCATTTTCCTATGGTTTTCCTGTGGTTTTCCACTGTTTTGGCGGATCAACCGCCATTTCTAACGGACCGTCCTTTGGGACCATCATGAAAACTCTCCATATGAACATGTTTGTTGCTTCCCATCATGGTCGTTAGTTGCATCATTTACATCATCCCTATTCAAAAAACAAAGAAAAACAACATAATTATCCAATTGAAAGACCATTATATCACCATTGTTGTTACTTAAATCCCTGCTTTTTTTTTCTGCTGGAACCCTTCAATTCTCCGCTTGAAACCAGGCATTCGGCTAAGGCGGCCAAGGTGCTGGTCATAGTGCCTTCGATTGTTGGCCAAACAGGCCTGTCGCGGAACGTCACATAAAGTGGGGCCCCCAAACCATAGCTAAGTTGGTGAACATAACTCCACTTTCACTATGTAGTTTATGGTACTTATAACTATAGCTACTTGGGTTTATAAACCAACTTACATCTAGGGGGCCCACATCATATGGACACTATAGTACAAGTTGCAAGTTGCAACTCAACTTAGCTAACCATGGGTAATTATGGGTAAAATCATGTAAATTGTCAAACATAAACGCCCGAAAAACTACAGATTTGATTTTGTGATTCGTACCATGAGGCCACAGAATGGGGTATGCTATGTGGTTCAGCAATATAATAAGCCCATCTCTCTCTCTAAGCCATCCAGTTGAATCAAATGGGTCTGTGGTTGACCAAAGGCATAAACAGCTTGACATGGTTTGACCAGAAATGGTCAGAAACCATCCTGTTACTGGAAGTTCTTCACAGTTCTGGATTTGCCACATTGACAAATCGTCCATTTTCAGGTCAGAGTGGCACAACACCTTAATCGCCTCTTAGTTTTCCCTGAAAATGATGTTCACTGGTGTTTATTCTAGTTGGCGGGGCTACAAATCCTAGGTCCCAGCTCCAAAAGTAAAACTGGCTGTAATCTGTGGTGCCTTTTGCCCTTTTGCAGCGCTGGTTTCTCTTCAACACGTTTCTGGATGGCCTTGCTCACATATGGCCATAACGGGCTTGATTTTGAAGATGTCCTTCGCTGCCAGTGCTGGCGTTGCAAGCAGGTACTGGTCCTTCGATTGCCCTCCAGTAACACCTTGTCCAAGACCATCAAATCTTCATCGTTGAGGGCCTCTCTGTTTCCGTGGGAATTGGACAGAACCCGTCAATATAGGCTGCATAGGCCTTCACAACCTCAGCGATATTGCTTCGGCTCACAGCTCAACCTCAGCCTCATACTTTGACCTAGGAATACCCAAGTTGGCAAGCATAGCTAACCATGGATACCTTCTTGGCAGGCTACTTCCTATTGGGTGTTCCATGAGGTACTTTAATACTCCGAGCAGAAAGATCGCCCAATGCATACGGTTTCCATTACTTTCTAGACGATGGTGACTTATGTGGGTTGGGGCATGGCTTATAACCTATGCATTTATATTTGTAACCTGCGTAATCCTGCAGGTAAATGCAGCTAACTCCTTCACGTCTGCGCACTGACTTATAACCATTTGTGGGAGTTACAAGTGGAGATACTAACCAGATATAACTTGGTTTATATCTGGTTATAAGCCGTTTATAAGTCTCACCCGTGGTCTGCTGCAGAGCTGCCCGTGCGGACTTATAAGCCAGTTAGCTAAGTCCGGCTAAGTCACTTATAAGTGGGCTGCACGGTGGCTTCACGGTGGATTCACGGTAGATTCACGTTTTTTTTTTTCCGGAAGTTGTTCTTCAACCTTCCTGACTCGGAAGTATGTGAACTTACCTTTCTGTAACTCGGAAGTTGCTCTTCTATAACCTTCCTTTTCCTACCAGCTTTGTACACAAATGAACAACTCAGCTTACCCCAAAAAACCTCTATAACCCTGTTGTGTTTTTATTGGGGTGGCACCTATATAGTAAGAAATGACAAAGAAAAACACCCAAGCAACCAGTACCATAGATTTTGGATAGTGCAATAAAATCCATTTATATACCATGAAAAAAATCCACTTGTATCTGTATGTTATGCTCTTTGAGACATCTTCAAAGCAGCGCACAATGTGTTCTCAATTTTTATACACCTACAAAAGGGAAAACCACCAAAGGGGAATTTTTGGTCTTGCAAACAGTGATTACATACATGTGGCTAAATCCCGCAGTTGGGGTTCAATTTCATTTTCGAATCCAAACGGCCATGAGCGGCAAAGACTTTGAGCGGCTGTTTCAAGATTTTGAAGCAAGGACAGAATATTTGAAATGCAGCCATGCGGCTGCCTCATCAGCATCTGGCAGTCGGGTTGAATTATCCCAAAAGGTCATTGACCAATTTGTGGCAGGGTTGGGGGGCATGAGTTTGAACGCTTCTCGGGCTCAGCGGCTGTTCACGTTGATTTCCGGCAGCCCTTTCGATGAAGGCCAGAGACCTTCGGTGTTTATAAATAGTTATTTTGTTATCTATGTTCGTTTTGTTCTTTTGAGTTGAATTGTCATCGTTTTGGGGATAAAAAATCATTCATTGAGGAAGTATATAGGGTTCCCAGCTTTCAACCCCATCATGACAAGGAAAGCAGTTGACTACCGCTATCGATGAAGCTGTCAACCGGGGACTATCAGATGACACTCCTAGTCAAACACCACGGAACACAGACAAAAGTGTCCAACATGCCTTTTTCCAGCACTACCTGACCGAAAAAGATTGGGAAACGTTGCAGGCCTGATTTTTCCACTTTAAAGACCCACCAAACAAACCAACATTTTTTGTGTGTTTTCAAAAGGGTTCCTCTTCAAAGTAGGATGGCAACACTTGTCAGATTTGTGTGTTTTTTGGGGTTTTACGGTTAACCAATATTTCACCAACCATTTGAAATTACCAATGATCTCATGTGAGGCCCCAGGGATGGATGTCAATACCAAGATCAGGGTCCTGGTGAAAAGGTGCCAAGCTTTGAGGATGAGACACATTTGTGAGGACACAGCACGGCGCATCTGTTGTGTCTTAACTTTGTCGGGGGACAGCCGCATGTGTGCAGCCCAAGTTGATCCTTTTGAGTTTTATGGCCTACTTGGGGACTTCAAGGTGATGTTGAGGTTTGCTTGGAAGAACAGTTCCGTCGAACCTGTTACTTTGAAATCATTTCCAGCAGATCCTACAAAACTCAAACCGGTTTCTTGATGTTTCATATGTTCAGGTTTTAGTTTTGAGACCCCAACTGTTTGACTGGTTTACAATGTTTCATTCAAGAGTTTCAATCTTAATTTTTATGGTTCAAGCTGAGGATTTGTTCTCCAGTGCATATCATCGTGATGAACCACCAGTCCGGAGTAAGCTTGATGAAGGGATTCTGTTAGAAATGGTGTCTACACTTCCAGCTCGGAACACCCATGGGACTTTGAAAGGGGGTTGTGCTAGTGGCTCCAAGAATCAAGCTACCATGACCCTTAACAAGTTGAACTCGTTTTTGCAGCGCCTTGAAGGGTTTGGAGGGCAAGACTATCGGGCGAGGAGGGGTTCTACACGTATCAAGATGTTGAAGGGGCATGATGAAGAGGAATTTGAAGAACAGCATCCTACGCGTCGGCGGAAACCTGAACCTTTGCAGATCGAGTATACCCCTAGAAACTGGTTTGAAATAGTGATTCATCAACGGTTTTTTCCACCTTTGTTTTCCCATTTGGAGACCTGGAAAACCTTAGACATATTTGTTTAAATAATGTTCCCTTTCTTTATAAGGAGAAGGAAGCAGCACACCTGCCGAACCTCCGGTACCGAGCCAAAAGACGACCGAACCAGCACCTGCAATGCCTGATATGCCTGATGAGAAGTCAAAATCGAAAAAGGGTTCCTAAACGAACATTCGTCATTTTGTGGAGATTGGGACCCCTCTGGGTTTGAATTGGAAACAAATAGAAACAAAAGATACATATTATTTCATGTCATGTTTAAAATTGGTATCCTGGGGGATGAAAAAAATATAATATATATATAGGTATATTCATCCATGTGATTGGGTTCTCTGTTCTATTTACTCCTTCCAAACGGAAATCGAGGTGAAGAAGCGACAAAAAAGGCATCGATTTGCGATATGGCAAGCTCCATGCTCAAAGTGCTTGGTGAAGAGGGTTTGTCGAAGGATTTAGAGTTGCCCAAGAAGGGATCCCAACCGAAATCCAAAAGTCTTCCAAAGCCAAAGTCCAAGACTGGGTTGAAGATTACCAAGTGCAGTGCAGCTACCAAACCCAAGCCGCAGCCTACTATCTCGTGTTCGAAGAACAAGCCACCGGGGTTTCCAGGAACCAAGAGACAGCCACCAATTCGTTGGGGATCTTGCACAATCTACACATCAGACACCAAATGGCGTGTCAAGTTGAATGCAGGGGACCGTTTGGATGTACCTAAGCCATTTACTGACCAACCCAAAAAGGGCTGGCAGGAAGTCATCAAGCTCTGCAAAGAGAGGGGCACTTTTGAGAAATGAATGGCCTGGTATTGTATGGCCAAATTTGTTGAAACAACAGAGATTATTTGGAGTTTCTGCATGATATAGGGGTCTGCAGGAGCAGCTGTGAGCTGTATACGTCAAGGACCATCGGCGCGTGAAAGGGAAACAACTGATCAACTTGCAAGGATTTTCACATGAGTATGGGTCAAAACAAGTTTATGAATCATACATGGAAAACCTTCAAAAGGACAAAAAACGAACCATAAATCCTTATTTTATCTAGTCGATACATTTTGACCCATACCCACATGTTGCTGTATTTCCAAATCTCTTGATTGATTGGTGAGGTTAGTGTTCCGAACATGTCATCCACTTTCTCGTACAAACTGGATTTCTGTCAGTGCTGTTCTTGATTTGGGTTGTTAAAATCATCCAAAAAAACACAATTTTCAACATGTATAATATTTTAAATATACATATTATATACATATACATATATTTACAAATATATTTATTATATTTACATGTATAATCATGTATATATATATACACATACACATACACATATCATCATATATCATATATTCATAGGTTGGGTCCCCAACTGTGGAAACGACTGCACAAAGCAATGGCGCTGAATTTCAAAAGCAAATCCAGTTTTTTATTTTTGCAGCATTTGTGTACGAGGGTTTCTTTGAAAGCAACCTGTTTTCCCATGGCGGCTGCTTCTACTCCCATAGACATCGACTCAGAGGATGAGACTAGCAGCGCTGATAGCCAAGATACCCGATACCGAGATCGATGCCCTTCCAGAACACCAAAGAGAGATAGAAAACGTGGCATCCACTGGTCTAACTTCCCGAAGTATGATGACCCGACACCAAAGAAACCGAAGTCTAGTGAAGAAGTCAAGGAGGTGAAACCACCACCTGTTTTGCCAATCCTTGAATATGAGGATTGAACACTTTTTGGAATCCAAATTCAGTTTCAAAAGGGGTCGGCCTACCTGAGCACTTATAGCTATGGGGTGCCAGCTTTGCAAAACCACAGGGTTATGCCATCGTCCGCAAAAAAGTTAAAAAGGTTCCGCAGAGAAGAGCATGTGCAAATCATACATTTTTGAAATCTCATATGCACACTGGAATTTGGATCTTGCCAAGAACTCTCTCACACACTTACTGCGCATCAGTCTCTCTCTCTCTCTCTTCCTGAGTCGGTGCTTGATTTTTTGCTGAATTTTGGAACTTGTTTTTCTTAGGAGGGTTTTTCCAAGAAGCAAGACATCCAAACGGTCAAAAGTCTATTTGAAAGAAATTGGCAAATCAGCTATGATGCAACACTCTTGAAGGACACTCATGTGAGACACTCTTTCACAGCCAGATATTTTATGCCCAAATTTTGTATAATTTTGTGATAGATAGATTTGCGTTTTTGTTTCCAGCCCGATGGCGTCCTCTGCTGGAGATACTGCTTCGGTCTGCAGCGAAGCACCTTCTCATGCATCTACCTTGGTTTTGCCTGGGGGAGCCGAAGTTCCCGAAGATCTTCAAAATGCAGCCATCCATGGTGGTGACGGCAAGATGTGTTGCACTTGCGATAGCAAGGTCAAGAAGGAGGATTCAGTTTGTGTGAGGGCATCTTCCAAGGTCCAGCCAGAAGGGGTCTGGCGTTGTCGGCCATGCCATGCCCTCAAGAGCAGGATCAACCGTATCATGAGCAAGAATGGCCAGCTTGCTCGTGATTGGGGTGAGATGAGTGAGAGTGAGCGTGCGGCTTTTGTCAAGGAGAACAAGAACCTTTACGGATCTGATTTGGAGCTGAGAATCTCTGAGTCCATGACCATCACCAAGGCCAAGAGATCCTTTACTTCCTTCACTGGCAATGGTGATTTCAGGACTGAGCTTGACATCCGTGAGAAATGGAAGAGTCAGCCCGATGTTGCAGACAACATCATCAAGTTTGGAAGGAAGTTTCTTGACCCCGTGAAGAAAATCTACCTGTACGAGGATGTTTCGTACTCCACCAAGCAGGAAGATTCCGAAGAGAGGAAGGAGACCCAGCGTATGCGTTTGGAGGCTGGGCCAAATGCTCTTGTAGTTGACGGTGATGGGAACGAGGAGAAGGAGAAGGATGGAGAACCCCAACCAGCCCGCAAGAAGCGCAAGACCAACAACCCGAAGAAGACCCAGGATTTGACTGGTGAATCCACCAAGAGCAAGCCTGAGAAACCTTCTAAGGTGAGCAAGTCCGACATTTCCTTTGCCAAGAAGTACATCGCCCAGCTGGCCCCGCAGAAGGTGGAGCTCAATGGGTTGAAAGAGAAGACCAGCGGCCAGGAGCATCTGTACCCAGCACATGTGCTCACGTATGCACAGCAAACCCTGGGAAAGATTGATGAGTGGTACAACATGATTGAGCCCATCTTCAAGGGTGAGAAGCATTTGGAGGATGTCCAGCCAGACAAGAAAAAATTCGAAGAGGAGATCAAGCACATCGTTGGTGAGGGGACTATGGCCATCGAAAGATTGCGGGTGCAGGTGAACGAAGTGAGCCGATGGAACAAATGAGAGGGGGGCTGCTGCTTTTGTTCGATGCAGAGCTGCAATTTTTATTTTGGCAGCTCTTGCAGCTGTTGCTAACATTTGTCCGGGTTGCATATTGCAGCTGCAATATTTTGAGCAGGTGTTAGGATCTGGTTCAAACACTGGCAAAATTTGAAGCTATGAGTCTGTGAAACAGTGAGACTTTCACAAATTTGGGCAGGCAACGGAGAAAAAAACTCAGCCTTGAGACCAGTTGTTTTTGCTGATCTGATGTTGGATCATTGCCATTGTTTTCTGACCACTCCACTCTTAAACCTCGAGTTGATTGCCATTCCAAACTTTCTCACTGCACCCTATTGCACTGCATGGGAGAAACTTGAGAAAACAAGAAGGCATTATTTTTGGGTTCCAGTTTTTGAGACTTTGTTTTTGAAATTTCATCCAAATATTTGAGTGTATAGTGAGAGTATCGTAAGAGTATCGTAAGAGTATCGTAAGCGTATCGTAAGAGTATCGTAAGAGTATCGTACATATGTAAGCGTATCGTAAGCGTATCGTAAGCGTATCGTAAGCGTATCGTAAGAGTATCGTAAGAGTATCGTAAGAGTATCGTAAGGATATCCTGGAGAGTATCATGAACATACGGCAAAATTTCCTGCTTGGTCCTGCATCTTTCAGCTGGGGTTTGGGGTCTGCAGATTTGCCATGTCGGTGCTTCCAGCGACGGCACAGAGATTTGGTCCACCTGATCTTGAAGGTGTTCCATCTGCACCGGACTGGGTGCACTATGTGAAGAACAAGGTGGCCAAGTTTGGGAGGCCTCTGAAACTTTGCTGCCCATGCATCGGGCTCAACAATGGGGGCAGGGCTTTGAAAGAACTTGGCATCGACTATGAGCTTGTGGGGTCTTGCGATGTGTTGTCACATTTGGAAGAGCCCCTTGAACAGTTAGAAGGCAACCTGAATGGCATCAAGTTAGGCACAGAAGCTGGGGACATTTTGTCCATGGACTTGGAGACCCTCCCAAAAGAAGTGGACATTTTGATGGCTGGACCTCCATGTCCACCATTTGCTTCGAATGGAAATCGAAACCCAAAAGAGGATGAACGAACCAATGTGTTTTACCAGGTGATTCTTTGGATTGTCCTGTTTGTTCGTCGAGCTGGCCTTCTCTATGCTTTGGTTGAGAATGTGCAAGGTTGTGCCAACCGGCTGAATGGGGCTACCAAAAGTTTCATGGACATCCTTTTGGAGTTCTTCGAGCAGGAGTTGCCCGAGATGGTTTGGCGTCTTGATTCCCTGAATGCTGCTAACTATGGGTTGGCGCAATCACGAAATCGAGTTTTTCTGCAAGGGTTGAGACACTAGCTTCAGCTTTAGGAATGTTTTTGCAGTTTTTGGTTTTTGAAGGGGTAGACCACAAAAGAAAAATACATGCATATAAATCAGATAAATAACACAAAATTTCCAATTTTCCTGGTTGAAACTTTTGAGGACGAGATGTGAAGAGCTCCGTTCCTGCACCTTTACCTGCCTTTGAGCCAGTTTCTCTGAGAGATTTCTTGAAACCTGGACTACCTCCCACACCGAGGGACAGCTTGACGAAAACCATGCAGACCAATCTGAAAAACTATGAGGGCTTGGTTCGCCAAAAGAAGAAAGATGGCACCATTCCAAGGGGTTCCCTGGCTGTCTTTGAACTGGATCGGGCATTTGGCAAAACCTACAACCCATCCATGACATTGGACATGTCACCTTGCCTGAAAACCCAACTCCGCTACTTGTTTGTGGTGTCCACGGATGATGTGGATTTGGCTGACGGACAACGAGAGTTCAGCAGATGGATCTTACCATTTGAGCGACTGTCCTTGCAGGGCGTCGCCCCAGATGTGGCTTTGACGCTGCGGGCAGGTGACATCCTGCATGCCACCGGGAATGCCTACCCAGTCAATTTGATTGGGGCTTGTGCTGCACCCGTGGTGAAGGCCATCGAGATCCGTTTTGGCACTTTGACCTCATGGCCGAAGAAGGCACCTTTTGATGGAGGAGACCTACCTGATGTCCGGAGCTTCTTTTTGGCCCAGATCCCCAAGAAGGCTGAGAAGAGTGACCGTAAGAGTTCCAAGCAAAAGGTTTTGAAAAAACCTGGGGGGAAATTCAAGCCAAAGGTTTTGAAAAAACCGGCTGGCAAAAACACCAAGAAAAAGGTTTCAAAGAAACCAAAAGCTTCCAGCATGAAGAAGACAGCCAAGACTCAGAAACCCAGCTCTGGCAAACCGTCAGAGAAACAAATGCCAAAGAAACAGAGCTCTGGCAAACGAAACACCGAAGAGGTATCTTTGAATTTTGGGCTCACTTTGACAAAGAGCAGCAAGTGCAAGCGTGGTGTGGCCATCAGCAGTGACAGCGACTAATATGTTTTATATTGACCCAATCTTCAACAAAAAACTTATTTTTGGCAAACTCTATATGTCCTATAAGTTTTTGTGCTTCCATGGGATTTGCAAGGCCATACAGCCACACAGGCTTCTGTGCAGAGATCTCTGCAATGGGCGTATGAAAATCGATGCGGAGCATTTCAACCGCCAGTGGTATAGTGGACCACTGTTTCAAAGAAACACCAAAAATTGATGGGAATTCCACCAAATAATTTTCAAGCATTATATATGGGAGTAAACATGGGTACCTCCAAATGATCCAAAATTACACCAGGAAAATATTGAAACGATCCCCCGTTTTACGAAACTTCCATGTAGGGAATCCCAAATCAACCTGATTGAACGATGTGTTTGAATATGTAGAAATTGTTTGAATATGGGGAGGGGCATTCTGTGAGATTATTATTCCTTTTAAGGTGGCCAAATGAGGATGATGATATTGCAATATTAATTTACCAAAACAGTCCTTCAAAATGGGGAAGATGTTTTCAGTGCATGGTGTGTTGAACAGAATAATGACCCAAAATCATACCATACCCATTATATATGAATCCCACCGTCCCTTTCATGAAGGGAAGCGTTGAACTTCACCAAGTACTGCATAGCCATTTGCTCTCAGGTTGTGATACCGAACTTTCGTTTTGAGCCCTCAGTATGATAGATTTTACGGGGGTTTTGTCAAGCCATGGGAAAATCAGTGAAGCGTGTTTCTGGCAATTTGCATCAGCCTGCACCTTCAAGGCAGAAGGTGATGGCCGATGCTCTTACTGCTGCTGGACCAGGATGCTCTAAAGCAGGGCTGGCAAACTTTGTTCATTCTCTACATCAAAGTGGGGTTTTGGATTCCAAAGTTTTTGGTGAGGAAGGTTCCTACAATCCAAGGCTAGCCAAGCAAGATTTTACTGACTCGGGAAGGGACCTGATTGAAATCCACACTCCTTATGGAGACCTCGTTCAATCGATGGCATTGCCACTAGAAGATCCAAAAGAGGAACTGCTTTTGAGATACATCAATCCGTTTGCTTTCTTACACCATCTTTCAAAAAGTGAGACTGGGTTTGGAGAGATTGTGAAGGCTTACCTCAAGAACCAAACGAACAACTTGATGATTTATTTTGATGAAACAAGACCCGGAAATGTTCTTCGTCCAGATGCTGGCCGACTTGTTCTTGCAGTTTACTGGTCTCTGAAAGAATTACCCGAATATATTCGATCGAGAAGTGTTGGCTGGTTTCCCTTCACTTTCATACGGAGTAAACTGCTTGCCCGTCTCCCTGGAAAGGCTTCCAATTTTGCTGCGAGAATTCTACGATTTTTTTTCAGTAGCGACAATTTCAACATGTTGACAGGGGTACGTTGTGAAGTGAACTCTGAGGATATCTTTGTCAAAGCCAAATTCTGTGGTATCTTGGGGGATGAAAAGGCATTGAAAGAATCACTTGGAGTTACTGGGTCAAGTGGCACAAAGCCATGTTTCAATTGCAAAAACATTGGAAGCAAACACAACGACCTTTCAGACCACGACTACTTTGTCAGCTTGGACTGTTCGAAATTTTCCGACTTGGACCTTCACACCGATTCCTCGTTTCGTGAAATGGCCGATCTGCTTTTGTTACATGACAGGGACCCTACCATGACCAAGAAAAAAATTGGCAAACTTCAGCAGGTATTGGGATTGAAATATGACAAAGACACCCTGTTGTTTCAGCCGGATTTGAAAGATTTGGTACAACCGATATCTTGCACCATTTGGGACTGGATGCATGTTTTGGTGAGTCATGGGCAAGCTGACGTGGAACTTGGGCTTTTCGTGCATAAAATGGTTTCTGAAACTCGAATTAGCATCAAACAACTGGAGGATTTTGTGCTGCAATTTGAGGGCTTACGGCAATCTGGTGGAAAATTCAACCGCAATTTTTTGACGAGTCGCTTGAAAAAAGAAGGTGGCCCGTTCAAGGGTTTCTCTGGTGAACTTTTGGACCTTCTCCCATTGGTGAGAACATTTGTGGACATGGTGCTGGTACTTTCTGGGAAAATGCCTACACACATTGAGTCATTCAAAGAACTCTGCAAAATCGTGGATATCATGACCATGGGTGATGCAGCTTGTGCCTACGTGGCTTTACTCCGGACAACAATTGAAAAACACCACGAACTTTTTGTTGAGTGCTATGGTTTGCCTGAATGCATACCAAAGTTTCATTACACGATGCACTTAGCACATGTGCTAGAACGGTTGCAAATCAACCCAAGTTGTTTTGTAACAGAGCGCAAACATTCACTTTGCAAACAAATTGCTGGCAGAACCTTCAACAATTTTGAGAACACAATTTTACAGGAAGTTCTCCGTCAAACCCTGCGAGAATACCATGCAGAAGGGGCAATGGATTTGGAAGGGTTGGCAAAGGATGTCCCCTTAGAGGATGATGAACTATTGGAGCAATTTCACGGTGGGTTTCCTCATTTGACCAACGTTTTTGCAAACTGTTCTGCCAAACTTGGCATTGGAAACATCAAACGGAAGGATTTGGTGTTGTTGGAGCTGACCGGGTTTCAAGTGGGAAGAATCGTGCTTTTTTTCAAACTCGTTTTCATAGCTCAAAAACCACAGTTCATGGCTCATGTGGAACTTTTTGAAAAAAAATCAGAGTCAGAGTGGAAGTCTGGAGAAATCAGACCTATGATCGTACCTACCAAGTGCATCAAGGCTAAACTGGCCTACGCACCAATTTCCGAAGAAACAGTACAAATTGTTGAACCATGGTTGATCCGCCCGATGTGAGCACACAAAAAAACCATCAATTGGAGATGGAGAGTTGGGGGCGGCAGTGTGGTTGTGTAACCATGATTAGGTACTGCAGGAATGCCACATACACATGTATCTATATCTATAAACATACATATCTATCTATCTATCTATCTGTCTATTTATCTATCTCTCTATCTATATTTATTTATTCATGTATGTATGTATTTATTCTATACTATAGACAGATAGATACATAGATAGATAGATTAAAAAATATAACCCTTGAACAAATATTGGTTTGATGGATGAGCGATCGATGGGTGTTGTTCGGAAATTTGGATGGGACAATTCAATCACCATTGTTTACTATGCTTACGTTTCACCAAAAGTTAAATGTTGTGATGCCAGGTTCTACCAAACTGTTGGTTTCTATCACTTCATGCGGAACCATATATATACCCAAAACGAAAAAGGTGTCAAATAGCTGGCCCAGAAATCATCAGAATGCACTGGTTCTTTGCCAATAATGGTTAAACCATTTCTTTCGGGAAGGATGGTTCTTAAACTACATATGGTTGTCTATGAAAATGGGGATTGTCCAGTTCATCACGGGTTGACGGTTCATTAGTGGGAACCCCACATAGTTAACCTATGAATATTGGACAAAAACAAATGCCCGATGTAGGAATGATGGGACCTTCATCCCCGAAAAAAAAAAAAACGTTGGAATCATTGGCTTTTCAAATTATATTATGTTTAAATTGTTGGTGATGTTTTAAGTTTCTCATCTCCCCAAAAAGGGGCATGCAACAATGCAGGGTCTGTCCACCTATATTAAATAGTCTCAGCTGCATTTTTTAAACTCCACCAAAAGGGATCCTAGTCATACATGGCTGTAAGTAATGATAAAACATGTGGGTTTCCCAAGTTGGAAAACGATATGGGTGATCGAAATTTTACACACAGAAAGTTGTTGAACAACATCTTCACATTCAGACCCTGAAGTATGATAAGATTTTTTTCCCTTGGGCCAAGCAGGTAAGTTTAGAAGTGGAAACTTCCGAGTTACGGTGAGATGTTGTCAGCGCATTTTCCGGAAGACAGCCCTGCAAGAGTGCAGGACAGCTGGCAAAAACCATGTCCACCAAAACGGGACGGGCCCGGTTTTACAGGCCCGGCGGTGAACGTGAAATTGAGTTATAAGTCAGTTACGGCTAAGTCCGTAACTGGGTTATAACCAGTTATTCACGTACGGCTAACTCAGTTATAAGTCGCCGGTAAGTCCACCAAAACTCGGTGCCGATAACCAGGGTTATAACCTATGTAACCCAAACCTGTCTAGATAGTACCCAAGCTTTGTAAATTCAATGATGTTTGCGTACTCTTACGGCTGATGGCTGATGCTTGCGGGGTTGCAATCTCAACCAACCCCTAGAAACCTCCAGTTGTGCATTAGCTTCAAGGGCCAAGTCATTCTTGCTGCTGTGCTCGTGTGCACTCCAGGGGTCCTCAAGGACTCATGAGAAAGCCCTTACCCTCTGGTAATTTAACATAGCTATTAAAAATGACCATTTATAGTGGAATTTCCCATTGAAAATGGTGATTTTCCATAGTCATGTTAGTTTACCAGAGGGTAATACTTTTCTACATGGGTGTTTGTCCCCTTCTAAGGTTTATGTTTGAGTGGCTTTCACCCCAAAGACATTGCCAGCCTTACAGCCTTACCTGGTTGGTGGTTGACCTACCCCTCTGAGAAATATGAGTTCGTCAGTTGGGAGTATGACATTCCCAAGATATGGAAAGTGATAAAATTCCATGGTTCCAAACCACCAACCAGTCATCGTACTGTTTTTCAACAAATCGCCAGCTGGATAGTAAACATGCTTTATTCAGATTGAAGTAAGGTCCATTCACCAAGGTTTCCCTAAATGTTCATGGCTTATTCCCCAATTAGTTGGTGAAACTTGGTGCAATTTCTCATGTCTTCATTGGTTTAATCGCGTTCATCGATCCAGCTGTGTATTTAGAGGATCATGAACACGAATCGTGACTGCTTCATAACCCTCGTGATGGTAAGTCATATTTTGTGGTCTATCATACCTAAATTGTTTATGGTGGAGCCCCACAGTTATAAGTTGGCTTATAACTAAACCCCATCAACTATAGTTATAAAATGTTATAAAGTTATATAAGTACCATAAACCATAGTTGTTGGCAGTTAATCACCAAGTTTAGCAAAGCTAGGGGGTCCCCACTTTGCATTGCCAATCTTAGATCCCCTGCAAATATGTTTATTGTTCGCTGGTTAGTCGTAGATATTCCTATAGCAAAGGATGATTCAGGATTAAACTACCCATCCACTTGGTTAACTTTGTTTATCAATGGATTGGTTCAGGGGAAAATCTACAGGAAACCATGGAATTTCCTATGACATGTGGCATATATAAGGGTTAGCTGTTGATTCTCCAATCCATTGATGTATGGCTCAGCCTGGTTGCTGCTAACCTAGATGTAGGGATATTTCAAAGCATTTCCCATGAACATGTCAGTTGATATTCCATACAACATACAGTATCCCATATAGTTGATATTCCATACAACATACAGTATCCCATATAATGGCTATTATTCCAACATTCCAATAAATATTCCGAGGTTAACGGTTAACCTCGTGAAATCCCCATTAATTACCCATCCAGTTGGTTCACCTTGTACAGCTCTACAATGTGGGGCCCCCTAGTTATAAGTTGGTCTATAACCCCATCTAACTATGGTTATACGTACCATAAACCCTAGTGAAATTGTAGTTATAAACCAACTGAACGCTATCCAACGAGGGCCCCACATTGTATATACCTGGGGTGAACCACCGAAATAACCCTGTAGATTCTGTAGATAAGCCCTGGCCAGTGAGAGCCAGAATGAGAAAACATCTTAGATTCTATAGCCCCATCTAACTATAGATATATCATGATATATTACCTATAAACCCTATTCGAAATGTTAGTTATGTTCACCAACTGAACGCAACAACCAACGGGGGCCCATTGTATGCTTACGACCGACCTTGGATTTGCACTCCATCGCTGGCAAAATGATGTGTGCGGAACCCGTGTCGAAGACCACTCGGAAGTCCTGGGGGATCGGCTGTACAGGGTGGGGCTCCCATTGGATTGATTTTAAGGGAAAATTGAAACCGGAAAACCATGGAAAACCCCATGATCTTCATGGGAAAACCGACGGATTCCTCTAGATTTCCCCTAACAAACCATCCCATTCGCTATCAATGGATTGGTTTTAAGGGAAACTTTACAGGAAAATCGACGGATTCCGGTGAAGATTTTCCCTAACAAACCAATCCAGTGATAAGTTGCCTTGTGGCTTAACTATGGTTTATGGTAGGTATATGTAGGTATAAACCATAGTTAATGGTGTCTATAAACCAACTTATATATAACTGGGGGGGCACCACATTGTAGGTGTTTCGTGAAATCATCCGTAGTATATCCCCTTACTATTTGCCCGCCCGCCTATCACTAGCCTATTAGAACGCGTCATTTCCCATCTATATCCCACCCAACAAAAACTGACTCTACCTTGGCGGTGGCTTATCCCCTGCTACACGTTCAAGTTTAAGAGGTTATCAAGATTTATCAAGTTATCACTAAAAAATACTAAAAAAAAATACCGCAAAGATCGAAGTGTGTCTGCCGCGATCCGTTCACATTTTTGGATGGTTAGTGTGTGGAGCACTGGAGCACTAACGAGTCACATTCACCCAGGGCCGCTGTCCCACAACACGGCGCGGCCGCGCCTGCGGGGGGTAGCCGACGCTTAACACCTGGGAGTGACTCAAGCGCTGAAGCCATTCTCCCATTGAAATGGGCTCAGCATGCCATGTTTTTTTTTTGGGGGGGAATGAGTCCAAGCAGTCTCAGTTAGAGCTTCGAAAAAAAACGCTTAACGATCCTTCATCTGATGGATCGTGTTTGTGGCTAGTAAAGTTGTAAGTTATAAGCCATCTAAAAATAGGATAACCATTGGACAACCTGAAGACTTGGGGGACTTATTAACCAGAGTTATTAGATGTTATTGGAGTTTTTTCAGCACTTGCATACCTACATTATCCTACATTAATGGTTGCGGAAGGTAAGATGATCCCCCCCAGCATTCGAAAAGCGAATGTTGGAGTACCCAGTTGTGACCTACCCTCTGGTAATTTAACATAGCTATGGGAAATCACATTTTTTAATGGGAAAATCCACTATAAATGGCTATTTTCAATAGCTATGTTAGTTTACCAGAGAGTACCTGAAACAGCCCCAGCTTTGACCGGCTCGGCGGCAGCCGCCAGCGGCTGATTGATCCTGCACCTCGGCCTGCCAAGCCTTCACGCGATATCCCAACGATCCAGGAATGACGCAGGTGTCCATGACGGTATGATGTGACTTTCATCCAACTGGGGATCAGCAGTTAAAGCACACCATTCAGAAAGGCCTACCCATCTTGTTGCAGGTGGAATTTTTTACATGTCAAGACATGCACTTTAAAAATTGAACTACTGGCATGTGCACAAAGTCGAGTTTGGGACTTCTATGAAAAGTGCCCCAGAAACCGGCAACTTTGTGGAGCAAAGCCTCCAAGCTTCCAAATAGGTAAACACATTGGAACACCAAAACTTGTGACTCTTCCATCACCCACAAAATTCTCGACTTATTTCATCGATTAATATACCTCTCTATATCGCGTTATATCCCCTGCCATCATTGATGGTGAGATAGCTGCCAGGTTTCGACAATTTGCCCCTCTCCAATAGTAATTTCAGGGGAGGTACGTTAGTATCATATTTCTGGCCATATGAATTCTTCCCTTAAAAAAATAGGCCTAAAAAATAGGCCCACAATATATATTTATATATGGTAGGTACCTCCAATCAATCGGTTCCTGTTGCATCACCATTGAAAATACATTCAGAATAAATGCCTCATCAAAACTCAGCATTTGGCATGTTTGGTCCCAGGTTTTTCCTCGAGAATTCCTCTGATCTGGGTAAATTATAATATTTCACTAAC